TTTTAAGTGAAATTATCACAGATTGTATTGTAAACCAGAGTAGAGAAGAATAATTCGTCTTGTCAATTGTGTTCTAAACCAATTGAACTAGCTTGTGTGGACTTTGACAAAAAATAAAAAGACAATTATTTAAAGCTCTGGATATAACTGTGATAACCAACAGTGTGAAAAACATTTGTATTTGTATGTTTGATTTGTTTTATATACTCTTTTAAGACAATTTGACTGTGTACTTTTTATTTTTTGTTGAAATTCATCGTGGTCGAGATGATCAATATGACAGTACAATAATATAATATATATGGAAGCCCATTGTGGGAGTATAACTGGCAACTCAAATAATAACCAGTTAAAGTCGAAATCAGGGGTGGCTGACCAGAAGAAGGATGCTACTAAAGGTGACAAGAAGTCAACAGACAAATGATAGAAGATATGCTATGCTTGTTATAAAATGGGACACATTGCAAGTGAATGCAAGTTTTTCACCAACAAGCAACAGCAGATATCTTAACATAAAGCAACTGGAGCTATCTAAAAAGATGGTGCTGGCAAGAAACAAGAAAAGAGTGACAATTACCATGGATGCTGCTGCCAGAAGAAACAGATTGAAGACAACTAATCAGATTCACCACATGGAGGAAGTGCTATCACCATGATTAAACAGTGTATGATTGATGGTCAGCTCAAGTTAGCAAGCCAATCAACAGTACCAGTGGTGGTCAGAACATGTGACAAACATCAAAAAGTTACAATAAATCACAACATGCCAGAATATGAAGACTATTTCAGAGACAAGAAAGTCATATGAAACATTCTTTGCAGCAGTGAGAACCAGTCTAGTATCTGATGACAGGCAAAATACATCTGTCTGTGCTGATTGATGGGACAGTGAAAAAGTTTCCCATAGCAAGAATAAAGGTGGACACTCCATACTAAGTGGGAGACTATGAGGCCATGTGTATGAAGGCACCTATCTATGACTTTGTGTTTGGTAATATACCAGGCAGCAGACTTTTGGAGGAACAAGACAGAGAGGAGACTGATGAGGCATCTGCAGAAGTCAAGAAAAGAAAAGCAAGCAGACAACAAGCCTCTGCAAGTCTCGAAAGGTGACATCTTAAATGTAGTATGTGTTGGCAATAATTGACTATGCAACTCCTTACCCAGAACCATAGCACTGCCGAAGATAGAGACAAGAGAGTAGCACAAGCCCTCCTGGAAGTATTCTCAGAGTAGGCAATGGCTTTCCAAAAGAAGTCTTGAATGACAGATGGAGCTAGTTTACCTCAGAACTGATACAAGAGGTATGCAGAATCTTTAGCAATAGGCAGCTTTTTACCACTCCATATAACCTCAGATATAATGGACTTTGTGAAAGAGTTAGTTGAGTCTTAAAGAGCGTGCCAAAGATGTGCCAGGAGAGACCAAGTGACTGGGCAGGTACCTACAAGCAGTATTGTTTGCTTACAGAGAAGTCTTACAAGTGATTACACGATGTTTACCATTCGAGTTACTGTATATAAGAACAGTATGAGGTCATATATTACAAGCAGGAGAAGAGAAGTGTTCACTGACTCTGCAAAGATCACAAAGGGTTTAAAACTGGTCTAAAATACCACTAAATTATAAATACACAATTTATTGATCTTTTATTTGTATTTATGGTAATCTTGCTCAAGATAGCTGTGCCATTATTTGCAATATCATATTCCAGCTGTGATAAGCAACATATGGTATCTTGTAACAGATGAGATTTTACAAAAGCCACTCACATATCTCAAGACAAAGTATATAAATTAATTCCACGACATATCCAGAATAGGAAGACAAACTGAAAAAAATCACATGAAAGATACCAAGTCTGGAGAAGATGACAGTACATGGTAATATTCGAGAAAATGTATGTTATCTTGCTAACTTTAAACAAGTCTCATGCGATTTCCTACTGATCAATGGTTGGAAACAGTTTCTAAAAGTTGAAGACACTATGTTGCAAAACCTTTTTGAAAGGATTCATGATCATCGCTGAATACTATCTTAGATGTAAATTGGGATCAAAAGAGTGAATACAAAGGTCAAGATGACCTCTGTTTACTATCAGACCAATGTTCTGGACCATTTATACTACACAAAAATACCAGCTTTGTATGTAAACAAAGTCAACAGGCATTCATTTATACATCCTGTTGAATTGTTGCATACCTAAAGTAGTTGAAGAATGAAACGAGTATTCATGCTATTCTATACAAAAACATACTGGTCAAGTCATTAGACACTGTGCCTATGGATTTCTATGCGATTAGACACTGGAAAACCATCTACATTATTGTGGGAAGCCTACAGGGAGATGTGGTATGCTTTGGATATTACAGCCTTATGTTGGAGTATTTTGCAATGCAAGTGAATATGCATGACTGTCAGATAAAACTTGATGAGACATGGATTATAATGCCATTGTGAGGCTCCAAAATCTATTTTAACTAGCTGAAGATACCCACTAAAAAAGCAAAATTATACTGATGACAATGTTACATAAGGTTCTCCTTTGTATTTCGTTATTAAATCCCTAATGACCTCATTATATGCTAACTGAATACCATGTTTTGTATAAAGTAATAATTGACTCATTTAACTGATTAAGTATTTCTGTCTCAAAGTCAAAAGTCTACAAAAAGAGGAAATGTGTTCCATTTAAGGATGTTCTTTATCCCCCTCATTGAGCATAAATCCTAAAAGAAAACAGCTCATGTGTGCTGTTACACAGTTTCCAGTTAACTTACAAAAATTACGTTATTTGAGCCAGACGACTCTGTGTGACAGATGCAACACACACATGATGGATTATCTTTATAGTAGGATTTACCCAATATTCTGCACATTACCAAAGTCGAGTTAGGAAAATCTTCCTGTGTCAAGCAAGAAGGATGTTGCAAAATGATCGACTTCAGCACATCCAGTTACTGTCAGAATATTAGTTCTGTTTATTCATCAGGTGAGGTGGCAAGTCCTTTACCGGGTTCAAGTAGTAAAAACAGCTACCAATGCAGAAGAGAAAGATAACATTGATGCCAAAGCAGTAAAATTATATTGATAGTCGAGAGCTAACCTAAGCATGGAATAGGATATAATCTGTAAAACCTTTGCAAAAAAAAAACAACTGTCAGTTATTCTGGATAATCTACTGTCATTCAGTTGGCAGTGCTAAACCTTCACAAAGAAATGGTTTATTTAACTTTACTTATCCATATTTAGACCTTTTCCTGGCATATATACATTGTACTAAATATATGTAATTTTCCATCAGTATTTCATTTATATATACGTGCGCGTGTTCACAGTAAAATTAAAAACTTTTTCAGTTTCCTTTTTAAACAAGGCTTATGAAGTTTAATTTCGAATTCTGTAACACATCTTGTTTTATTGCACCAAGTTAAGAACTTTTGTATAAAGTTTCGTTTTTTTAGTAATGTTTCACTGACGCTTCTCCATTATTTTC